CAAAACTTTTTAAAAGAACTTCTGGAGGAAAGGAGTGGGGGATAATGTGGAGGCTAATTTATATTAAATCCCTTGTAAACCGTCTTTGGATCTTTCTCTCTCTTACGTACTTGGAACACAGAAGGTTCACATGTTCTACAATTTCCTCTCCACCAATATTACAATCAAAGGAAGATGACAGAACTAAATTAAATTTGTTCAAGTAGCTTTTAAAGTTAGCATTACCAGTGAGAAATCGGGTTATTTTGCAATTAGTATACAAAAATGACGACATGACAGTCTCTTATTAATTGATATTGAGTGAAATAAAAGACTCGATTAATATACACAATAAATAAATATCATAAAAAGTTTTGCTATTAACGTTATTGTTAAGTACTTCATTAAAACAAGTAATCTAATAGTTACTCAAAATTAAGACCATCACTAGTTGTTCCTTTTTGACATATTGGGGAGTGATTGGTTAACACATTGCTTTTCGCAGAAAAGTGAATGGTACTTCTAAGGTTTTTGAGGTTTTATAGTCCACCCAGTAGCGTAGGTGGGACCATTCTGTATAAAATCGTAGTTTCCGACATTGTACCTCTATTTTAAAATATGACAGATTACTATTTTTATTACAGAAACACAAGTAACACAAAATTGTCAAATTAATTTCTTGAACAAGTACGAGTATGAGCGGCTGCTGGAATGTGGACTTATTTAATGCAATGATCAGACAACATACGTGAACCGATGAATTTGAAACCGACGTACGTACTTAATTTCATCACAAACGAGTCCCGTGTCAGAGCGGGACATGATATCAACACGAGAACCAAATGCTGGGAAAGCGCTGGTTGTAGGATGATAAGTGATATTGTCAATATCCAATCTGTGCTATCGTGGTAAGAGCTGATCATCAACGTTCATTCACACCTCCAGTCGATGTATGGAGAAAAATTTATTTATACGGCTGACATCTGAGTGATCACTGTTGGCAGTGAACACTCAAAGCGTTATCGTGCGCTTCCAATGAAGGTACAAGTGTCGTCTACTTATTTATCGAATCATTTGCTTAAGCAGTAGCTTCGATCGTGAAAAGTCAATTTTCCAGTTTAGCTGGTGTCAGTGTTCCATTGTTTCTTTTGGTACGTGCATCTTGGGTCCTAGTAAAGTATGTCACCTCAAAATGTCTTGGTGGTCCACCGATCGATAGCGATCTTCTTAATGCTCATACCTGGTTTAGTTAAATTTTTAATCAATACCTTATTCTAAAGAAACACGAGGGTTATACGGAATGAAATGGGCATTCGAATGAGTGGATACATACAACAAACTCAGTCCGTTTCTTGTAAATGAGACCATTCAGATGTCCTATACGGTAACTTACGAAAAAAATATTCCGCTAAATTATAGATTTAACGAATTACTTCTTAGAGAACAACTTGAAGAACCTCTTAGCGTAGCATTTCTCAAACTGTGGGGCGCGTCCCCCTTGAGAGGCGGGACAACTCTACGAGGGGGCACGAGTATATTGAAAAGTCGAAAACTCTAGATCATTTAAAAAAATTATTAATTTACTGAAAGTAAACAAAGAAATACATTCTGACATAAAAAAATAAAATACACATTTACACTAATATTTGCACTTATAAATGTATCATTGCTACACGATGGATTTAATGATTAATCTAACAATACTAAATTAAAAAACAAGTTTAATAATGACTAGTGACCCCATGGGACTGTCATATAAAATATTATATACAAAACTCAATACTTCTCTTCACAATTTGTACGGTTTATAATTAATCACTCAACTGCCGATTAAAAATGTAAGCGATTCGCTTCTCAATGCCAACCGTTTTCCACGTAGGCATGCGTAAGTGATTTATTGGGGGGATGTAAATAAAGAAGCAAATAATTTGAAATAAGTGTATCCTTCGGAAACATTGTTAACTTCCTTTTATTGCATTCCAAAGCCTTCGGAATAATTTTATGGATAACAGTGCACAAAAAAGATCGCACTTCAGAACGACGCATATATACGTCCAGGGAAATAAACGCTATGATTGAGAGAAACGTTTATATACGCCGGTGGCCCTTTAAAGGTTAAAGTCGTATCGTAGTTTCAGCAACAAAGTATAGTATTATTGAATTCCATATATTGTTATTGTATGAGGGGGAGCAATGAAAATTATGATTAAATATTGGGTCGCGAATAGTGAAACTTTGAGAAGCACTGTCTTTGCGCAAAAAAATAAAAAACTTTACTCATAAAATATTTCTCCCATTTTTTTATACGTTTTAAAATATTTCATTTTCCAAGAAACTACTGTGGTAGAAAACAGTTATGAATTTTCGGGAAAAAGTTACATTTATACTAGAATTTTCTTTTGAAACTGGATTCTTACCTAAAATAATTTATGAGAATTTACTGCGGTTTTCAAAAACGATATGCACCGTTTCCGATATCATTTCGGAAATCGTAAAAAAAAAAACAGGATAAACAGCTCGAGGCTATCACAGCAAAGTGTTATTCCTTTCAGATTCGGTTATTACTTTATCCGTTCCTTCAGATTATTTCTTTTTCTTTATCATCTCTTCTTTAGTATAAATTAAATTTTGGTTTTTAGAAATATTTTTAGATAGGAACTTTGTGACGGGCTCATCGCGTTTTCAACTAAAGACTCCTCTTGAATTCTTTGGCGCCGAAAAGGCAAATTCTTTCCACCCAAATCCAGAAGCGAAGCGTGATTATGCAAATTAAGAACCTTTTCAATAGCAGAAGTTTAGCGTAAGCAGGGTGGCCTGTGGAAAGTGATTATGCTAGTCTGTAAGACTCACCGTGTAGAGGGGATGATGCACGTTAAATCGGTCGTCTTCCCTTTGGTAAGGAAGTTGAAAGAGGGGGCCCCAGATCATGTGTCGTCTTTGTCACTTGACCTTATTTCAAAATTATGAGGTCGGTCGCCAGAAGCCCTGATGTAACTAAATAAGATGAAGTGAACATTCATTCACTCACTCACTAAGGTACAAATATTTTGGTTTTCTTTGCACGTAGAAACATTCTAGTTTATAAAGATGAAGTACATACAAAAAGGAATGCACGCGATACACAAAATGAATAACTATATCTATATATTTTTCTAAAATTTTGATATTGAATAGCAAAAACATTTGCTGGATGCTGGGAGTTAATACATCATTTCAAGCTTTCTAAAGCTAAAAGTACTCGTTAAAACATACACACAAAAATTGAAATATGTTCGATAAATTAATTTTATACAAATGCAACTAGCAAAAAACCATATTTTTCAATAAAATTTTTCCTTATTTATTATTTTATTCATAGATTTATTATAAGTAGCTTTTAAAAAAATTAATTCATTGACTTTTTCTAAATTACTAAAACAACGTACTGCTAATGGGTAATCAACGAAATGAGATAAGAAATACATATTAACAAAATACTATAGAAAATTTGTTTCATCTTCTGCTTTTTTTCTCAAATTTTGTGATACGTTCTTTCTTTCTTTTTTTCTTTCTAAGCTTTCTTCAAAAATAAAAATTCAGTTCTGTCGGTTGAATACTTTTTTAGTAGAAACTCAATTTAACAAAACGCCGGAAGGAAATAGTCTTTTGTAGTTATATAATGGAACTTTTTAAGGGCAAATATTTTTTCTACGTATTACATAATGCACGCTATTTTAATGAATTGCTTATATATTCATGTGAAATGCAATTCATGTCTGAAAAATAAGTAAAAAATTAGTTAAAAGGCACTTATTTTACTTATATAAATTTATATACAGAAGGTCACGGGAAGGACACGACCAAAGCTACAACAACATCTTTAATTTGCCCATATTTTTAATTCTTATAGTAAGATTATTAATGCTAACGTTTTTAAGAAATGCAGTTTGTGTCCATGGTATTGAAGTACTACTCATTTGAAGATTTTTTTGTGGTAAAAGCTGGAAGTTTTCTTTGAAGGCAGAAATTGAGATTCTTAAAAATATTCGATAAAAAACAGAGATTGGTGAGGAAATGTGTTGCTTGAGAAAAAATGAAAATGGAAAGAAAAACCAAAAATGCTGATATGATCTCTGTTCCCATTGTTATTTAAGACTTTAGTATTACACCATGCTTCAAATTGTGTGTACATATGTATGTCCGCATACACACACAAAATCCAAAACAGTTTTCAAAAGAGGTACGAACATGAAGTTATTCGTAAGAATGAGAAAAACTCTTTTAAGGCTGGTTTCGCCAAATGTATGGGAACTGGAACTAAACGCGGATCACATTTTCGGACAGATAAATGCCTATATTTTTATGAAAATTTGTAATATTGTAATTTACATTTGTTCAAAATAAAGTGTTTTTTAAATTTCAAAATATACCATAGATAATTAATTGTTTCTTTTAACTTGTACGGGGATATCTCATTTTTCATTACCGTGTAGGAGAAAAAAAATGGGCAACACATTTTATACCACAAAAAATACATAAGTTGAAATAGAAATGAGGAACATGATAAAATAAGTGATTCTGATAAGTGATAGCGAAGCCAGAATATAATATTAATATTGGAGTACTTTAATATCTGAAAAATTGTTCCGCGCGAGAGAGAATCCGGGTTCTATTTTTTAACATTAACCGAAGACAGCCTTAAAATATATGTAACATTTCTCTTAGCATGCAGAGTGTACTAATAACAAATATTTAAAAAAAATTAAGTCAATTACTACTTAGGACAACAAAGAAACATTTTATTTTAGTTACTTTTTAATAAATATTAACATGTTTATATGTACATATGGCAGAATCGCACTATTAAATGGCAAAATAGTAAACAATTTTCCTTGCACACACATACAATTTTTCCCTCTATTTAGAGTGTTGGACTATTTTTTGTTCATTTGTTACTGTGTTTATTCACTGTTCATTCATTAAATTCAATTATTCTAACAAAGCAGTTAAGTAAAAAGAAATCATATTCTCAGAAATTACGCCATCCTAGATGGGTTACAATCCCATGACCTGTGGATTACAAGTCCAACGCGCTATACATTGCACTACTGGGATGCAATGAACAATTTTCCCTTTTATACATGCTGTTGGACTATTATTATTGTATGTTATTTTTTTCATTTTTAAGCTTAATTAAAGAATTAAGGGTTTGGTACTCCAAAATGACCGACCTATCGTTTTTTTTTAAATTTTTATTTAATCTTATTCTTTGTATTATTATCTTTCGATTGATATATCATTTGTGAAAGTAGGAAAGTTAGAATTTGAATAAAACTTCATTTGAAAACAAATTGGTCGACTCGATCATGCCCCCTTTTTTATAAAAAAAAAAAGCTAAAAACAGCGTTTTTTTTTAAAAAATCTGTTTTATAAGGAGAAATAATAACTATAAACAAAGAATGTGTAATATATAAATCAGAATATTTCCGAGGCAATACAATAATGCAATTTTTCTTCTTTGTGAAATGTGTGCAGGAAAATTTTTTGAATTAAGGCATTTTATATTTATAATTTCATAATTTCAGTTCTTATTCCTGATATGTTTTTCTTAGAAATGTAATACTTTAATATTTTGTGAAGAAAAAAACTAAACTTTCTATAGTGAGAGAAAAAAAAAAATTTAACATTTTTCTTGAATTTTCTTGTGTTCAATTAATACCTTCTTAAAATTGATTATTCATAAAAATATATGAGTTGAAAAAATACGAAAATGCAATTATTTTAAAGAAAAATGTATAACAAATATCCTTAAAGTGGTATTTTAAGTTTATTTGACCTTATTGTAATTTTTTTTTCAGAGTTATAAACTTTAAAGTGTTTTTTCTCAGTTTGTGTTTTTCGAAACATTAGTGCATTCAAAATGCTACTCCTTCCACAACTATTTACCACTCACTTCCCTTTTTTTCACTGTGTGTTGCATAGAAAGCATGTAACAAAATTAGGGATCTATTTTGCTGTTAACTAAATATTTTTTTTAAAAAATTGAAATTCAAGAGATATAGAATTTTTTGTTGATTTTTAGCATGCATATTAACATTTATTTTTTTTCTCAAAAACCAATTAAGTTATTGTAAAACATATCCGTAAAGTTGTTTATAACATCCATAAGAATATAACAAAAAAAAATTCAGGCAAAAAATTGATAATTACAAAAGGAGTAGGATTTACAAATTTTCTTCAAAAAATTTAAATTTTTAAAATTGTGTAAATAATATGTGAAAAATTTCATCTTGTATCATTTTCTTAAATAGAAACATTATATAAAATGTTAAAACATCATTTTTAAATACATAAATAAAGAAAAAAGTTCAAAGGGTACCAAGTCCTCTTAATATTTGAAAAAACTGTATTAACATCAAGTGCTATACACTACAAATTAAAAAAAATTTACTTGAACATGAATGAATAAAAATAAACTATTTTATTAACGATTGAAAATGTGATTAAAGTATATATATTGAGGGAGATAGAGTGAAATAATTGTAGTAATTGTATAAGATAATATTTAGAAGTTTTTTGTTCCACAATTATAAAATAAAAAATAGTGTCAAAACTTTAAAATTGAAAATTAAATTAATACTCTTCCATTTTTACTTTCTGTTAAGTGTTAACCTTAGTTTTATGAAATGAAAGAAAAAATTTCCTTTATTGGAACATTTTGCGCGAAAAAAATTGATCACTTAGTGTTAAAATATTCATCCTTTGATTTAAAAGATAGGTTCTGCTTGTAACAAGAGTTACCTTTTTACATAAGTGAAATGTTTATTTACGGAATAAAGTTAAAATGTTATTATGACGAGAGAGAAATCCCATTTATTTAAATTAATTTATAATAATGATATTTTATTTACATAGCTTAAAAAAACCATTACTTACTTAATGTATTCTCTTGACATGACTCTTAATTTTTTTCTATCCACTTTTAAGGTATTCAAACTCGTTGAAATGACCAATCTAGGTCAAAACGCATATGTTTCCATTCCTACTATTAGTTCACTGTCTCCCTATATATATGTATACATATCAAATTTTCAATCGTAAATAAAATACTTTTTATTCATTCATTCAAGTTCATATACATTTTTAAAATTTTATTGGATGACACTTGATATTAATACAGTTTTTTCAAATATTAATTCATTAATTAAGTTAAAAATGAATAAATAGTAACAAACAAAAGTAATAGTCAAGCAGCATATATAGGAAGGAAAATCGTTCGCTGTGTCCCGGTAGCGCAATGGATAGCGCGTTGGACCTCTAATATAAAGGTCGTGGTTTCGAATCTCAACTGGAAGGGCCAAATTTTCGAGAATGTGATTTCTTTTTTTACTATACTATTTTATTAAAATTGTTAAATTTAATGAATAAATAAATAGCAACAAACAAACAAAAAATAGTCTAACACTCTATACAGAAAAAAAAATATATAAAAAATTGCAAGGAAAATCGTTTTTTATTTTGTCACTTAATATTGTCTGTCAAATGTATATATATATTTGTATTAATTGCTACTATTTAATAAAAGTAATGAATATAAAATTTTCTTTGTTGACCTAAATAGGAATTGACTTAATTTTTTTTTATATTATTTGTTTTAATTTATTGAATAGAGCTGTCTTTTGGTTTTACAAAATATACTTTCGTTTTATTTATACGCTACCTAGAGGCCAAGGTACAATCAATTTTATAAAATTAGAAAAACCGGAAGTGGGTTTTTGATCCGCCAGAAGTGGTTATCTAAATTGTTCTAAATCTATCATGGTGAGTCTGAGAACTGAAAATTTTATCAACGTACTTCTATAAGACTTGAACCTGATATTTGTATTAATTTCTAGAGATTGTACTAAAATACTTCTTATTGTATGAATATTTTTTGAGTTAAGGCCTGCTATTTTAATAACGGTCTCATAAAGAATGTTACATTTTGTATAATATTTACTCAATGAGCTTTAAAATTTACAAATTTTAATAAAACATTTAAATTTTAGCACATTTTTGAGATATATTAATGCATTTATTTTCTTTTAGTAATACTTTTACTAATATAAGTTTTTCTCTAATTGCTTTGAAAATTATTGCTAAAATTTCACTTATAATTGTGATTTTTGTAAAATTTCGACAACTTTTTAAAAATATTGTTAGTTAAATATTATTTTTTTTTGGTATTGGCTCGTAAAAAAGCATTTGTTATGTTTAAATATGTTGTTTTTATTTAAAAAAAGTACTCTGAATGTGGTTGGGTACCTTCAAATAATTCTACTAACTTAATTCCTCGAATTAAAATTTTTAGGTGGAGGTATTAATTGAAGAATAGAAAATACTCTATTAATTTAAAAATATTCGCATATCATATTTTTGTACATTTAAAATCATTCCATTTTATTTCATCATCGTGAAACCTGTAGTTCATGAATTGAGTTTTACAGGGACGATCCAATATTCACACACAAATCATTAAAAAGGACAGAAAACTTTATAAGCATCATTTTTAAACACCATTAACCCTAATATTCCATTCTTGATGGATTTAACAAGTTTGATGATTGTAGAAAATTCGTGCATGGAATAAGCTCCGCATTCATCAAATATTATATAAACCGTGCGTCGTTTTCTCTTTTAAATACCATAACGCATGTATGAGATTATGTAGATTTCATCCACCTGGCTCGAAAACAGAAGACTTGATCTTATTAAAAAGAGGCATCGCGTGTTTCTGGAATGAAATTCACACCATTATACTTGTATTTTAATCAAAACTCTTTGTGTTTCAAGACACGTCTTCTTCAACCTGCATGTAAATTTAATGAAGCTGGTATAAGGAATAAGTTTCGAAAACTTTCTCGTTAACGCAGAATCGTAAATATAGATTGTTCTTCAAGCTTTAATTTTTCGTAACTATGGAGTTATATTATAATTATTCAAGGCGTCATGCGCTTTACGATAGATAAGGAGGTTGCTAGATGATGGATTAAATAATGTATATGATACAGATGACTCATCTCTCTATGAAAAGGGATGTTGGATAAATAGAGGTTATAATCTTCATTTCTTAGTGCTTTCAGAGAAGAAATCATATAAATATTTAAGGTATCCGACTACGTTCGGAACCGTGATTTTGCAAAGGCGTACAAATGGACAATATTTATGATATTAAGTGTCACTTAGATTAGAAAACAAGTGGACGTCCGACAGGTGGCTTTAGCCACAACATAAAACGTATATAAAATAGTTTTAAGAGTATTATGACAAGAAAAAAAACTATTTAAGTACAATATTCTGACAAAAAATTTAAGTATATTGACCAATTTTCAAAACATTCTCCTTTTACGAAAAATGCTTCTATTGTAATAATATTTTGCCTGTCTATAGCTCAGACCTCTGAACAGAGGCTGAACTAGAATTTTTGAAATATATAACTTAGAAGTGGGTTTATCTATGTTTTACTACAAGAGAGGGGAGAATGTTTAGGAAAAAAATGCTGAGAGATAATTATTTAAATTGGTGGTAACTCTGAAAATAATGTTAATTTTTCAAAAATACTAATTCAGACTTTCTGGAAAAGCCTTTACTTGTTATAAGTAAAATATTATTGTTATAAAGGGTGTTTTTTTAGAGGTATAGAACTTTAAATTGCAATAAAACAACGCTGTATTATTCGATTGACAGGAATTGTTTTTATTCGAAAGATAATCTTGTGGCATTACATTTTAAATATGATTTCTGGCATATGACTGCCACGGCTGGCTCGGATGTAGTCCGATCTGGACGTCCAATTTTCGATGACTTCATAAGCGAATTTTGTTTAGCGATGAAGCGCACTTCTGGTTGAATGGCTACGTCAACAAACAAAACTGCCGCATTTGGAGTGAAGCTAATCCACAAGTGTATGTCGAAACACCGTTACATCCAGAAAAACTGACTGTTTGGTGCGCTTTATGGGATGGTGGAATCCTTCTTCAAAAACGATGAAGGCCACAACGTTACAGTCAATGGTGGTCGGTATAGAGCCATGATTACTAACTTTTTCATTCCTGAATTGAACAATCATGATGTCC